ATGCAGCTATTTTCTTTGCTGACTATTTTTAAGCCTAAAAATAATAAAATAAATAAACAAAATTACGTATTTTATGAAATTAGAAAAAAATGAAAGGAATTGAGGGAGTCTAAATATATTTTGATTTATAAAAAAATTGTTACTAACATATGATACTAATTCCTAATATTTGCCAACAAGGGTGATTTAAATTTTTTTTAAAGAAAAAGTTAAAATCGCTCCAAAATAGTATCCAGCTGCAAGTGGCTTAATAGGGTATTCACGCTACATTTATAACTATAATACTATTAGACATAAGCTGTTATGTTACGCATTCGATGATGGAAGATAAAATTATGAATTCGTAATCTTTATCACATGGCTCAGCCAGTTTCGAAGATCGTTCTCTCATAATCATTTGCTGTTGTCATAGCTGGTGCAGACATAATTCTGGTTGTTTAACCTTATTACGTAGATAAAGTCAATAAACTATTTTTCTTACTGTTAAGATGGAATATCATTTTGTGTTATTTCACACATTTGATTGTGAATGATAAAACAACAAATTGTCATTCAATCATTTTTCCCGAATAATTTCTAACATTCTATAATTTTTGAAGACGCTTTTATCTTTTTTTCCTATTAGAAACTTTAAATGAAAGTTTACGGTCAGTTGTTATTTCGTGGATAATTTTATTCAGTAAAATTTAATTGAAGAAGAGTTATATTATTAGTCAATAGCAATTTTATTCGACTTTATCTGTTTTGTTTTTTAAAATGATAAGTTGCATCAGTCTTCTATCTTACTTACAAATTTTTTTCCTTCTTTCATTAATTTTTTTATTACTGACTGATAAATAGAATTTTTTATTTTAAATAAGTTTTGCCTATTTTTCTATATATTGAAAAAGCATGCAGCTGAAATGTAAATTCAAATATAAATCTTCGAACAAATATTTTTCAAGGAATTTTTCTTAAGGAAAAGAGTAAGAACATGTTATAAACTTTATAGTTCCATTAACAGGACGGTAATCTTCCATTTTTATAATCTCATAAACTATCTTCCTATTTATCCATGTCAAACAGATGCCAACCTTCTTTATATAATTTTTAATGTTATAATACTAAGCGAAATTCTTAATGAATTCATATCTAAAAAATACATTTAAGACACGAATTAAAGAAATAAGAAAAAAAACCACCTCATACTCCAAGCAAACTCCATTTACATCCACCTTTCTTAAAGAAGTAAGTAAGAAATTACTTGAAACTTTATTACTTCAACTAATAAAATATCATGGATTCATTTTTCTTTTTGCTCATAAAACCAACTTTAAATGTTTCCATATCTTATGAATGTCCTCATCATTTGCGTATTTTTTTTTTTTTATATTTTAAAACTAAGTCAAATTTTTAAAGTATTCATATCTAAAAGATAAACATGAGACATGGGCTAGAGAAATACGAGAGAAAAAAGATACCAAGAAACAAAAAGACCGGGGACTTTGGAGATGAAACTACTTCAAAGGAGTTTATCTTAGTTTAGATCCCTGGATCTATCGGATTTCTTTCACCCTCTATCTCTATAGTTTCCTCCTACGCATCCGTTTTCGGTTGATTAGTAATGAAAGTGTTATTTCTTTCATTTTCCTCTTTTTGATGATCATTTCTGCAAATAGTTTTGAAAACTGACTATATATATATATATATATATATATATGAGTTAAAAAATATAGTGTTTTTTTCTGTTTTTTATTTAATGTGGTTTAATGTGTTCAGTAACTGGGGACCCTTGGTCTTATGGGATGAATAAAGTAAGAAAGAAATAAAACATAATAAAATTAAAGCCTATTGTAACGAATCAAGCTATATTAAAGAAACTGTTCTTTTTTATAAAAATACATGTCTCCTTCTTTTGTTTTTAATTTATCTCGTATTTTTTTTTATTCACGCTTTTGTTAGCCAGATATTTTAGACTTCATATTGTGTATATTCAAAATACTAAAGTACTACACTACATATTAAAATCCTAATTTTTTTTCAAGTATCTGCAGTATTTCTTTAATGCACTAATTATCACAAAAAGTTTTTTAAAAAAATTTGATTACCAAATAACTACATGTATCCCAGGTTTAAGTTAAATCATATTGAGATATTTGAAATACTGAAATATTCCACCAAATTCATGTCCTTTAAATCAAAGGACAGGAATCTTATTGAATAGTCCCTACCATAATTGGAGAAGATTCAGTCTGCATGGGTTTGCAGCACATTAATTAGACCTCATTAAGGCGACCGATACGTATCTGTCGGTATAACTATTCTTCTAATTGATTGACCAAACTCCATTGCAGATAAGGTTACAAATCAAGGCCTGTTCAAACATGGAATGTTCGTAAAAGGCGGCGTTGCAGTTGAAATTCAGATGTTAATTCCACTCTGTGAACTCTTGGACATAATATATGCGCCATTATGCAGTATTTACTTTACCGAATAACTCTTCGATTAAATTGGATAGTAGTTGTTTCGGTATGGATCACTTTGAAGCTACAGTTAAAGTTGGGGTTATGAATAATTGGGTTGCTTTTCGATTAAAACTAAATCTCTCACGAATACGTTTTCAGTTAAGTGCGTCAAAAAAAGTGTGAAATGCGTAGAAAAGCATTTTATTATATACGCGCAATTGCACGTTGCGAAAAGCTGCCATTACATCAAATTTCTAATTCCAAGTTACTGCCAAAATGCTGTTGTCAAATATAAAAAAAAACTAAGCACTTATGACGAGTGTGTAGTATTATACAAAAGAATGCAAAAAAAAAAGACTTTTTTAAAAATTTAATCCTGGTATCAATTGAGAAAAAAGAAGAACGATATTCATAACACTTTTTTTATGAAGCAAACATTTGTAGTTGACTACCAGTTTTTTTATATTCCCCTTCTTACAAAAGAGAAACTATTCTACCACTTTTAGAAATCTTACCACGCACTTCAAAACGTTCATACATCTGTCTTTTTTTATTACTATTTTAACACTAAATATGGGACTTTACTTGTAATGACAATTCAATTTTGCTATTGTGAAATGCAGTTTTTACGTATTTTCATCATATTTTGTTTAATTTAAACGGTTGTCACTCTTATTGTACAGATTTCCCAGATTTTTTTGTTGTTGGGTTTCAGTAAATAATGATTTATTTTATATGAATTTTTTTTACTTAAAAAAATTATTTAAATTTTGCATAAGAAAACTGTGCAATAAATTAGACAATCGGTGAAGATACCAAAACTAAAAGTGATCATTTTTCCATTAAAAAGGTGGTGAATTTTCAGTAGAAAAATATACGCAGTTTAAACTTCTGTAAAGCCCATAAATATTGACACATTGTCTTTTCTATCTTTATTGGACAGTGCTCAAAGGGGGAGAGCGTAACACAAATATGAACAATCTCTGACATCATTTAAGAAAAATTTAAATCACGGTTAAATTTTTTAAGTAAATTTAAAATTCTGTTTATCAACGTTGTTATTACAAATTATTGTCAAAATTTTCTATATATGTATCTTAAAAAATATTATTTCATAGCAAAAGGACTAATTTCGGAAGTTTTGGATGTTAACTGAACCAATGCCTCACCAAAAAAATGAAAATAAATAAATTAACATTATATATATTTTTTTAACATTTTCAGCAAATAAAAATAAGGGAATAAAGTTTAAACAAAACTCTTACTTGATAAATATCCTTAACTAACAGTAGCAATAAAAAAATTATTTTTTACTTTATGAAAGATGTTTGGAAAATGCATTTTAGTGTTTTGATGTGTACCTCTGATTATATTTTATCGCTATCCTTCCTCTGGTGGACAATTGGTCTCCTCCCTTTTCGAGCTCGCCACTTTGTTGTTCCCTGCTTTTTTCGGCAAATTTTCTCCCCGCAGATTTCAATCTCATACGAATTCAAAATTAGGGGACTTCTTGATTTTTTAAAAAATAATTTTATTTCATATAAAAGAATACCACCAACCATATCTTAAGACTTCAACTAAAATCCTATCTAACCTCAATGGACTAACGGAATCGAATCTACTGTAATTAGCAGCATAACTCTCTTTCGACATGGAACTCCAAACGCTGGCATAATTTTTTATACATGCAATCAACAAAAATTATTTGTTGTGTTGTAGATATTGTATAACATCAAAACAACATAATTGCATAACATCAAAATAACAAAAATTATTTGTAGATAACATCAAAATAACAAAAATTATTTGTAGATATTGCATAACATCAAAAGATCGTACTAAAACTGCTTTTTGTTCGTGTCTTTTATCAATCATTTCATCTCATCCATAATCTATAAATGGTATTTTTACACGAGGTTCAAAATTTATTAGGCTACAACTAATCCGAAATACAATTATTTCTCAGATTTAAAATTAAAAAATAACATTTTTACTAACTTGATAAACAATTCTACATGAATCCAGTAAATTTAAATTTGAAAAAGTTGTATTTATATTTTTTTAATTTTCTCAACAGAAAAAGAAATGTGAGTAAATAATCGAAACAGAAAAATAGTAAAAATGCAATTTGTATGTTTTTTTTTCCTGCAATGCAAAGCAGGTATTCAATTTTTTTTAAAAACATTATCACTTAAAGGCTCCCTTCAACTAGAAAATGGATTCCAAGTTAACCTACAGACAATTACATTGTTCGATTGTACCTAGTTAACAAATTTTAAGATGTAAGTATTTCAAAAAGTTAAACTTTAAAAAACTATCTTGAAAATGTCTAAATATTTGCAACTTTAAAATTTCGTAACTAGGTTCAAAACGAGACATTTCATATAAAGTCAAGCAAAAATCATTCAAAAATATTAATTAGTAAATAAATTAGGAAGTTGCATTCATAATAATTCGCCGTAGGTCAACTTGGAGGAAGTTTAATTCAAGAGAACTTGAATCATTTCAAAAATTAACAGAAAATTTGCTTAAATAATTTTTTAATTCTCTCTTCAGTGTCTGATTGGAAACAAGTATAGACCTTATGCGTTACCTGCTTCCATCGATGCCACAGAATATAACCATATTCACAACGCAGCGAATGAAGCCGGTCTAGACGCATCACTCCTAGACAATCACTATCTCCTAGACTGTAATCTCCTACCTCCTCGATATGTGTTGCAGACTCAGAACCAGGCAAATAATAACCCTGGGTAAGTAAAGGGAAACGTTGTTTATATGTCCTAAAACAGTATTAAACTACATATTTGTTTAGGTTAAAGAAACGTTTCAGAAATGTATAGATGAGTTAGTTGTTTACATTACATTTCATGGTAGCTTCTTGATAAACATAAAATGTTATGTTCAGCTTTATTGGCTCATAAATAAATACATAATATTTACTTACAAGCATTTTTTTGCATTTTACTTTTTAAATGCACAATTGTTTGATAAAGCTGGTTTTTTTTAATTATTATTTAAAGTATTTTGTGTCGATGATTTTATTTTTTTTTAAATGATTTAATTATTATTTGGCAGAGATTTAATCGTTGTTATATTAGGTAAAATGCAAAAAACTAACGTTTTTAAAAGGGTGTTTCAAATAATATAATAAAGAGAAAGAAGTTTCAGCAAAATAAAATATTTTTTTTTTATATTTATATTAGCTTTTATGTTTTTAGGTATATTTTTCCGATTATTATTCTGCGAAAGTTATATTTAGTTAAATTTTTAATCAGAAGTGTGTAGATTAAAATTTTATTTCAATCGGAAAATGCTTCGTTCATAAATTTTATAGTTGTTCTGTAATTTTATTGACCTAATTTAAAAATCACATTTCTAAAAAAATAAATGTATTTGAATTAAATATCGAATTATCTGTTGATGTAAACATGGCAAAGGAGGATCAGGAAAGAGAAATTAAAATAACACCTTGATTACGTACTTCTTTCTATCATAAAGAGCGAAAAATTGTGAATAAAAATTACATTGCACACTTTTAATGTGAATTCGAAAAATTTATCGCTATTAAATACAGAAGATATTGTATCCCATGCAGCATGAAGGGGCAAATAAACGCTAAAAATACGTTCGTCCGTTTTAAGGTTTTGGACTTACGTTAAAATTACGTTAATTTCGAGTGATGAATTTCACCATTTCTTCATTCGTTAAAACGTATACGTTAAAATGACGGTATTTTAACGTTATCAATTTTCCCTTTAAATATTTCGTTAAAAATACGTAGTAAAAATACGTTATTTTAACGTGTACATTTTACCCATTTTTTAAAAACGTTTTATTAACGAAAAAGTGACGCTTTGTGGCATAGTTATCTTAACGTTAATTTTTTGGGATTATAAACGTAAATTTAATGATAAAAATGTTTCTAAAAAAAGGATGTTAGCGCCCAAGAAGGATATTATTTTACGTCTCTCTTAAATTTGAATAAACTGAACAGTGTAGATTTTTATTACAATTTATATTCTATTTTTAAATACTTATAATTATTTAGTTAATACCAAAATTGAAGAAAAAAATCAAAATTACATAAATATAAATGCTTTTATGCAGAGCAATGAGATTTTATGCAACGACATGCGATTTTTTTTGTTTTTGTTTCAGTAAAAAAATATTTTTACTCAATAAAATTTGGACCCGTTTTGAATGTTTATTTTAATTTTTTTTTAAATTGTTTCTTTTTTTGTTTGTTTTGTTTTAGTTTTCCAATATTTATTAGAGAAAAAATAAAACTTATTTTAAACTTTTAAGAAAACAGACTTAATATTTTGGTTCGAATTATACACTAAACTACAAGGTTTAATACCTTGTTTTTCATCCCGGAGATCCAGTAATCTCTCCAGGAATTTTAAAAATAAATATAGAACTAGAATTTGGAATAAAAAACTAAAGTAATAGATAACGATACATATGAATGTCAGCAATTATTTTCAATGTAACTAGTGTTTCCATTCTCTTTCCTTTCAACTCTATATCTTGACGCGCAGTATAAGACAATTCTGTAATGGCTTACATTGTTTCTGAGTTTGCATCGATTTCCATCCGATTCAAATTACTTTAACCATAAAGTTTACTAAATAGAGCGTTTAATTGCTCTTTATTTGCAAGCAACATATTAAGCTTATGATTTGTATTTACTTGAATTTCATATAACGTTTTAATATGATGGTGACTGTACAATGTATATTAAGACGATTTTGTCTGTTAATTACTTTAAAAGGATCTAGGGTGAGGCTTGTTGGAGCCACTTAGCTCATTGAAGTTAAGCTGTCATTCTCCCAACTAGCTGATAGGAGGTTTGACTCCCTACGTGGACATCACGCATTCAGTCCCTTCCTTATGCGAGGAGTATTTATTTCTGACACTCCTCAATTGGTGAACCTGGATTAATTTAGAACTCTTTCAATCAGGCATAGATTGCTGCACCACAGCTTTTCTCATACTCCTTCGATTTATTTGATGACAACTTTAGTATTATCAATCTTCCACGCTAGATGGCGCCACTAAATTAAGTAACTAAACTTCCATGGTTAGGTGGGACTAGAAGAAGCACAACTCAGCCGCAACTTAAAGTTTATAACTTATTTCAAGAACGTTACTGACTTACGGTGGGAAAGTTTTTGAATTGTCGAAAAAAAAAGTGTCCTATTTTGAGACAGAAATGTTACTGGTAAAATGTAACTTGCCACATATTATTTTGTAAGATCATCTTCGAATTTATTTCACAGAGTAGGGGGGATCATTTTCCGAATTCTGAGTCACAAGTCTTATTAATGTAATCAGAAAATAATTGTAAACACGCCAGTGAGTGAGAACCTGTCGTGATTCGTATTCACATAAATTATGATTTTCAGATTTAGACAATAATATTTTTGATATCTTATAGAGCTTGAATATTTATGTAATTTGTAACTGAAGCATCACGCTGTTTTTTTTAATTATTTTTGAATTACTCATTTAAACAACTCTAGCTCACGAAACGATTTTGTAATGTAATTGCTCTCACCCTAATTTAAACCTATATTATGTATTACTATTTTATTATTTAACGAGGTTGTTATAAATTGTTTTATTTTATAAAAATGTTTTTCATTTAAAATTTTAGAGACATAATATGGATTCGAACAGGGATATTCAAATTTTGAGAAAGAATATAGGATCGAACTGGTGATTCACTCCAACAAGAGAACTATACTTGACGTTTGATTACATCTCTGACGTTTGATTATCTCTGGAGTGTCATTACTTCTGTTTTCTGACTATTAAAACGAAAATACATTTATAACTTTTTTTTTGATGAATTAACATGATCTAGAGTTGATTACTAGAATTTTCAGAAATTTATTGCTCACCGTCTCCAAAATGTACTTTTCTATGATGGTTGGTTGGTGTCGTATCCTCTATAGAATCATATTTCATGGTGTGCTTGAATAGTTTTTGTTATTTCTATGGCATTAAAAGAATACAAATCCTCTTCTGTGGGGTAGTTTAAGAGGTGAAGGCCTGCAGCGACTGCAGGGCAGTTAAAAACATGATATGGTGTCAGTTCCACATTAAGACAGTTGCCACAGTTTTGATATTTTCTAGTCTTATCTGTAGAAATTTTCATGTTTTTATGATGTTTTGTTCTTAGTCTGATGAGAGTAGTGGCTGTCTTCCTATCGATGTCAAGATTAGTTATTTGATCGTGGGCTTTGATTTTTAAAGGGGTGAATAGTCTTGATTTTGCATAAGCATTTGCATCTGCCAACGTGGTTGGGATTGAGTTTTGATTTAGATCTCTGGCATTTTTAGCCAAGGAATCAGCTATTTCATTAAACTCTAGGTTCACATGGGCGGGAATCCACTGCAAGAAGCAATTTTTCCGGAGGCGCTGAAGTTGTCCAAGTTGTTCTATGATATTCAGGACAAGGCTTGAGGTACCTTTGCTGAGGGCCTGTAAGGCAGACCTGCAGTCGCTGAAGATGGTGATACCACTAAGCTGCTCCGAAGGTTCAAGATTGATGTACGTTTCGATAGCCGTAGAAATGGCTATCAATTCTGCTGTAAAATTAGATGCGATTTTTCCAGCACCAGTTGCGAATTCTCGTCTTTGATCATCAGGAAGGAGCAGTACCACTCCCGCACCTCCGTTGGTGAAGGTGGAGTCAGAAGATCCATCAGTAAAAGCCCTGACATGATTGAGGCCAGATAGAGAGTCGATAGTTTTCATCCCAATTTCCTTGAGTTTATTCGCATGGTCTTTTTTCGAGCAGGGCTCGATGAGTTCTAGACAGATTGTCGTATTCTCTGGAACAACTCCAATAGCGGGAGTTTCGTTTCTGATAAGACAGTCTTCGGGTTTAAGGTGAATTTTTTCTCTGATGGCCCTGTCAAACAGAAGGGGAGATGACCTTTTGAGTCTAGATTTCTTATTCCAGTTTATAATAGTACGATGTGAAATGTGCCCCTCGTCAAGACTATGGGCATTATTTGTAAATTTAACAGTTAACATTTGTCTCCTTTCTTCCAGAGGGACCAAACCGCATTCCTCTTGAATTCTTAAGTTGTTTGTTGATGAGACAGCACCAGACATTATTTTTGCAGCTTTTGCTTGTACTTTATCAAGTCTCTCTCTTGAAGTAGAGGAGGAGTGTGACCATACAGGTGTGGCATATTCCATTATCGGTCTTATAAGAGTTGTGTAAGTAGTTTTCAGTGTTTTTGGTGCAGCACCCCATTTTGTGCCACAAAGCCTCCTAAGGATGTTGAGCTTTTTTAGTGCTTTATTTGAGCACTCTAGAATGTGGTGGTGAAAACGAAGCTCTTCGTCAAGTATTATACCGAGGTACTTTGGGTTAGAAATCTTTTCTATGGGGGTGTCAAACAATGTGATATTAGGACAAAATGTGTGCCGGTGTTTTCTGTCTGTGCTGAACACGCTGAGTTTAGTCTTGTTAGGATTAATGACTAGTTTAAGGTCTCTTGACCATTTTTCCAATCCTCTTATTGATTTGTTAAGCTCAGCTTCAGATTTCTGAATGTTCTCGCTGCTGTGCCAGATGGCGATATCATCTGCGTAGCATGCTACTTTTGCTTCTTCAGAGATGTGAGGATGTAAATCATTGACGTAAATAAGGAAAAGCAAGGGGCTCAATACCGATCCCTGTGGTACACCAGCCCAGAGTCGTTTCCTTTTGGATAGTACACCGTTAAATTTAACCCTAATTACTCTGCCTCTTAAAAATTCCGCAATCCAAATCAGGGCATTTCCATTTATTCCAATTTTGTGTGCTATTTGAATGAGCCTCTGCCTCCAGACACGGTCGAACGCGGAGGTCATGTCTAGAAATATGGCAGTTGTTTTTCTTGATGGCTTCTGTTGGAAAGAATCAATTATCGACTGGCAAAGATAAAAGAGCTGGTCTGTGGTTGAGTGTTGCGCTCTATAAGCTGTCTGATAAAAGTTAATTTTTTGGTTGTTGGTGAGCCAGTGTATTAGTCTTGAATGAATCAAACGTTCAGTCAGTTTACACAAGATGCTGGTTAGAGAGATAGGACGATAGCTGGAGAGGCTATCAGCGTTTTTATTCGGTTTTAGGATGGGAATGATTATTGTTATTTTCCATTCTTTCGGAATCTTACCTGTTCGCCAGGATTTGTTGATGATGGTGAGTAGCTGCTCTTTAGCAGTACTTCCTAAATGCTTTAACATCGATGCAAAAATGAGGTCATTTCCCGGGGCCTTGTTAGATGGCGTTTTGGCCAGTGAAGCATTTAGCTCATGTAGCGTGAAGTCTCCAGAAAAGTCCCAGATTGAGTTGTCATTTTTCGCAGTTAGAAGAATTCTTTTGCTGCTAGTGAGTATTTTCTTATCTGCTGTTTCGTAGTTAAGTCTTGAAACCCTTGAGTAGTGTTCAGCTAGAGCATTAGCTGTATCAAGATCGTTGGTAAGGGGCCTATTGCCATCTGAAATAATATTTGAGTTTGTTTGAAAATTTCCATTGGTGTTGTCCAGAATTTTGATGATTTTCCAATGTTGACTCTCTTTCCTAGGGTCTAGCTTATGACAGAATTCAGCCCATTTCTCTTGTTTGCATTTATAAATTTCTTGCTCCACTTCGTGGCTTAGTCGTGTCAATTCACGTCGAAGTTCTTCTGTGTTTCTTGTCTTTAACTCTGCATTTACTTTGTCTCTCTTTGCGATCAGTAAATCAATGTTGTGATCTTTCCAGAAAGGCACCCATGAGACTTTTCTTTTTCCCCTCGGGATTGACAGACTAGCTGCCTTTCTTAGACTGGATTCAAAGGTACTCGTCATATTATTTATGTCTCCAGTGAGAGGATTTTTAGTACAGGTATCTTCTAGGATTTTCTCGAAACTAACCCAGTCCGCCTTTCTGAAGTTCCATGAGCATTTCCCTTGTTTGAATGATTCAACGTGAAAATCGAGGGATATAATGATAGGCCTATGGTCACTGATTGCAGAGTTGAGAGTTGTCCATTGTGCTTTGGGTGCATTCAGGTAGTCGATTGCAGTTATGTCAATTGCCGATTCAGTACCATAGGTTCTTGAGAGGTACGTATTTTCTCCATTATTTAGGGTTGTTAGTTCAAGATCATCTATCATTTCCTCCACCTGCGATCCCTTCTTATCCAAATATGCAGAGCCCCATGTTGGGCTCTTTGCATTGAAATCGCCTAAGACGATGGTGGATATTATCGATGGACGATATTAAATCAATTATCAAGTTTTTTTTTCTTCATTTTATTAATTTATTTTTTACAGCAAATGAAATAAAAATAACAGCTAACCATGTACACCTTTTTACATCTATCACTGAATAATAAACCACTGATTTTTTCATGAAGCTATACATATCTCTACTTATTTTTCACTTCATCAATATTTGTTTTTTGTCCTATCTCTAATATTTTTTTTTTAAATAATAATCTCAAGTTACCTTTGGTTTGCATTTCAAAACATTGTGAAGAAATAAAAGCAAGAAAATTTAGTTACAACAATAGTACGAATTTTGTTTAAGCAAGTAATCGTTGAAGTTCGATCTCATTCTTTCCTTAAGGAGCTACATTATAACTTGATACATTATAACAATAATCATAAAAATCACCAATGTTTTCATTAAGATGTAATTTTTACTCAACAGAAAATTTTTGTTTACATTTTTGAGGAAATACAGATATTTTAATATTAAAAAAATGAAGAAAAAAAATATTAATTTAAGAAACTGATCTCTACTCTATTAAAAAATATTAATTTGCGAAATCTACTGGTTTTCTCTCAAGACTGATTTCAGTCCCCAGGACTGAAGAGCTTCACCCATGTTTATAAGTGTAATAAAAATTAAAATTCAAAAAATAAAGCTACATAATGTATGATGCACAACATTACTCTTACTATACATCCATTTTTGTATTGAATCTTCTTTGTGTTAGTCATTTCGACGGCGAATCAAAGCTCGGTTTTTGTTTTCAGGATTAACAAAGAGCCAATGAACAAAAACCACCAAGAAATAGCCAAAAGCGACTGGCCGGAGGAAGAAGATAAATTGGTACGAATAATCCAATACGGTGCGAGCATAGCAATCCAAGAAGGACTTATCGAAGCAGAAGAAACTTCCCAATCTTATTTGTTATCGGGTAAGAAAAATGAGAGTGTTTCGAAGTTAGAATGTATTATATTTATGATTTTATTTCGTTGTTGTAACAAACCTGCGCTTTGAATGAAAAGAGAACAAAGATAAAGATTTTTTTTTTTTGAGAAGTAATTTTTATTATTGCTATCGAAGACAGTCCATATATAAAACGTCTATAGAATTTTCGAGAAATACGTTATAAAACTTTTTTAACCTAAAAAAAATTCTCATTTCTTTTTTGATGCATTGGTTAAATCTTGTTGGAGATTTATTTCGTCATTTTAAACGTCAAAATGTGTCCAATATTTTTCGGAATAAACTCCTTTCAGAAAGTTTAAAACATTTAAGATTTATTTTGAAATTGCGTCAAAATACGTTAAATATATTTTCAAAATAATTTTCTTTTTTTTTAAATTTCTGAACATTCTATTTTTTTGTTTGAACCACTTTTTTTGTCGTATAAATACAATAAAATATTTCTCCAACATATTATTCTGCTTATTATTTAAAGAACAATTCTTTGAGTTTTTTAATAATTTTGTTTCGTTTTTTACTACCAAAATTCAATAAGATTTTAATAGAGGCTTTCCTTAATCGAATTCTTACGTATCGGTTATTAATTTTTTATATGATAATGTTTAGTGTTAAAAAGATAATTATTAATTTTCTTTGTAATGCAGAAGTATTTTTAGTCAATTTTGAACTGAATTATGCCTACATAAATATAAAATGATTTCTTAAACATTGAAGCTAAATTCAATAGTATTTTTAAAATTCATACGTAACACATTTAAATGGAATTCTATTTTATTTATAAATATTAAAATATTTTTGTTTTGACATTCTATTTGTTTATTTGAAACAGGTGTCCATACACATTTAAGACATGCCATTAGACTGAATAAAAATCGTCCCGAAGGAATACTCTGCGTCGTTAGACAATTTGAAGGTATCTTTTTCTATACAATATATATATATATATATATANTATATATATATATATATTGAACAAATTTTTTATTGTATTTTGACAGGTTTTTATATGTTGTAAATTACGAGAGTTCATTTGGAAGCGATTTATTATTGGAAAAAATTCTTACAAACTCATAATTTCAAAATATGAGGTTTTTATAATGATAATGGTAAAAAAGTGTACCCACTTTTATAATATTTATCAACTCTGAATTCCCAAAATAAAATAAGTTAACACTTATTTTAAATATTAAGTCACTATTGATTTGAAAATTCAAGAGATCAGATTTTTTGAAGATGCACGAGTCTTTATGAAATATAACAAATTCTCATCTTCAAAAATTCAATTTCAATGGAAGTTTTTAAAGTTCTCAAATTTAAGGATTCAGTTTTAGAAAATATTCTAAAATTACTATGGATTTTTAAAATCAAGATTCAATTTTTACTGACCTATAAATGTTTCTCAAAACGCCCACTTCGCAAAATTAATTTTATACAAGACAGCTCAGTCTTTTAAAAATTTTATACCGGAGAAAGAATGAAATTTATGCTAGCATGTAGAACATATTAATTGACAAACATCTAGAATACAAAGAATATTGTAAATGCTGTTCCCACTTGAAGCGCATGAGCTACAGTTGAAAGAAGGAAATTATGTAATTGAATGTTCTAGAAACTTCTGGAACGTTTCATAAATGGTAACTAAAATCTTAAACAACATGTATACATATTTACATACTGAAGTCTTGTTAGAAATCGGGAGAATTTGGAGGATCAAACTCAGGACCTCCGACTTGCCAAGGGAGTGCATGCCAAAACGTTTCTTGACAACATCACTATTTCTCAACTTTAGGGATTCAATTTACTTCACTGTCTTTTGAAATTATTATTGAATAACAACTGTAACAGCAAGCAACTATTAAAAAAAGAACATTCTTTGGAGTTACAATAAGATCATATGTGTACGAAGTAGTAGCGTAATGTAAATTTACAGTATGATTATCATTGAGTTAACTGAGTGTAGTAATACAAGTTCTAAAGGTAATTAGAGATATTTGAATTTAATTTACAGCGAAATCGATTGATTGCTTTCAACTGCTATGACGTGACTTAAAACGATAAAAGAAACTGTGCAAAACTCGCTGACTTGTCCATACATTAATCAATGATCTCTGGAATGCTCGTTTCCGGTTCTGCATTGGTTTCAGTGTGGTTTGAGTAAATTCTGTCTTTAAAGAGTTCCCTGCAAAACAAGTTAAGGATGAAGAAATCAGACGATCAATATAAGCTGTAGTTTGACATTTTAACAAAAAATGAATAATATTACATGCTTAAAAAAATTTCAATGTGCCTGCATTCGACTTCCACGTTTTAATTAAAATTAGCCAATGGTTACTAAATTATTAGGTTTGATTTTCAATAGACTCAATAATTAGATACTTGCGAGAGGCGTCATCATGGATGTCGATCCTGATAGGGTCTTGAAACGTGGTATCTGTTTATGTTAACAACTGTTCATCTATTCTATATCGAGTAAGCCTAGCTCGTCAAATATGAATACAGTAGGAGATCTAAAAATCGATTAAGTAATCGATCGATCTAGTAATTCATAACTAATAAGTTCTTACAGATTAATGAAATACTCAAATAATACTTAACAAAACAAAGAAATGAGCTATAATTTTCCCGTATTAGCAAAAGCAAGCCAGCAATAAAACAATCCTAACAGCTATATCGTAAACACGTCATTTTGTTTGTAAACAATTAGTTGGAACTGAAGTTATAGATCAGGTGGTAGTCTATCAGCAGTCTTCTTCTTGAATGCAGAGTATCTCGCAGGCATTTTGCAAATAGCATTATCATTAAACTAGCTGAATGCCCGTTCGCCGCACGGGATGGAAAAAAAAGTAAACATTCAATAAATTAGTAATGAACAACACTACGAAACCGTGCACAAAAGTGAAAGACATATGGATTTCTGCCAATTCAATTAATAAAGCTAAAGTAATCAAATTTCTTTCATTTATTATTATTTTTTGCCATTGCCCATTACTTTGAATTATCGGATTAAAGAAAACAGTTGTTCATCCTATCAGAATAAAGATTAACTGTATTCAATATCAATTAGCATGATGCTGTTGCTCGAAGAGAACTCAGCATAAATTAATTAACATCATTACTAAAATTAATTCACATCATTGACGTCAATAATACGGCGATTTTCTTGCATTTCTCACAGAGGAATAAGTACTAATTATCCATTAATTTTGTTTGTCAGTACATAACTTATTTTTCATTTCAAGTACTGTAGATATTAAATTATTAAGTGTTATATAAACATCTTTTTAAAGCATTACTGTAAACGAAATGAATACGTAGCTTTATATAATTTTCGGAATACTAATTTGGTGACGTAGCCTGTTTAAGCGATATTTAAAGTTATAAAAATCAGACACAAAAACATACTTTCTTTTAAAAAAACATACCCTTTTTTCGACGGATTCGGATTTCTGACACTTAAAAATTCGATTGTAGCTGCAGCCTGAGAAGTATAGGTCCAATAGTTTAGTCAGGATGGCGGTTCAAAGTTTGGACCCCTTAATTTTACTTTTACTTTTTGTGCATTTCGCTACAGCTCGAGAACTTTTAAAGCGAATTGAAAGTTTTTTACAATTATAATATTTTTATAATTGTAAAAAGTATACACAATTATAATATTCGTTCATTAATTGATAATTTCATGCCCATAACTTTTCGCAAATATTTATTCTTTTATTTAATTAATGAGTCGAAAAAATTTTGATTTATAAGTCATACAATTTTTAACACTATTTTAGAGAAGGAAATTTTTCATGACAAAACACAAAATTTTAATGAAATTGGTCTGGGAGTTCCAGAGAAATTTAATTTTAAAAAAGCCAGATGCATAAAATTTGATTTCTTTTGAATCACTCACCGATTTTGCTCAAACTTAGCATTTTAGCAAGTGGATTCTTTAAAATGATGTAAAAAATTATGTACCTTACCATTTGAATTTTTTCGACTATTTGAAATAAAGTAATAAAAGATCATAAATATTTACAAAAAGTTACTTTCATGGAATAATCTTTGAATGAACGAGTTTTATTACTGTGTGCAAAAATTCTTTTAATTGGTTAAAAACAGTTGTCAAGATCTAGCGAAATATGTATAAAGAATGCAAAATTAACATTAAGTGGTTCAAACTTTCGATCGGACTCTTGACCAAATTATCGGAACCCTATATTTCAGATTAAGGCTATTGCCTATATATTATACCGAAATCCGAATGCGTCGTAAAAAATGTATTTCGAAAAAGTACGCTCTATAATGTAGAAAAAAAGTACGTTTTCGTGTCCGATTTTGTAAATTTAAATATCGTCTGCATTTATTAGCATATTTTAGTTGACCCCTCTCAAAAAATTAAGATTGAGTATAAGAACGTGAAGATCCAATCGTCAAATCAAAATAAGGGTAGTCCCTGGTATCAGAACTATTTAATATCTTATACACAGTCCAGTCACATTAATGTGACCACCCGTCAAAAACCAGAATAACCACCTTTGGCAGAGTGGACCGCTATGAGACGTGCAGGAAGAGAGTCAGCTAGGTTTCTGAAGGTGTTCACTGGGATGTTGAGCCATGCCGACTCCAGTGCCATAGCCAGCTGCGCTAGATTACGCTGTTGAGGATATGTGGCACGAGCAACCTGATAGAGGTGGTCCCACAAATTCTCGAATGGGTTTAAATCCGGAGAGTTTGCTGGCCAGGGAAGTACGGTAAACTCAACCTTGTGCTCTTCGTACCACGCACATACACTGTGAGCTGTATGATACGTCGCATTATCCCACTGGTAGATGCCATCCTTCTAAGGAAAAATCATTCGCATGCAGGGGTGGACATGGTCCGCAGGGGCAGATGCGCACTTGTGCTGATCCATCGCTCCTTCCACAATGATGAGTGCACCCAGTGAATGCCAGTAAAACATTCCCCAAACCATAATGCTCCCTCCTCCAGCCTGGATACTTCCAGCAATTGTTGCAGGATGTTTGCTTTCAGACATTTCATGCTGTATAAGGCCAGCGTTCATCCGTCCGATGGAGTATAAAAAGTGATTCATCGAATAAAACCACCTGTCGCCACTCTGTGGACGTCCAGTTGCGGTACTGGCATGCAAATTCCAGCCTTCGTCGCCGATGAACAGCAGTCAGCATAGATGCATTAACCAGGCTTCTGCTACGGAGGCCCATGCGCAGCAACATTCGCTGAACCGTTGTTGAGGATACACACTTGGTAGCCCCTAGGTTCATCTGGGTGGTCAGTTGCTCAACAGTTGAACGTCTATTCACCCGAACGCGTCTCCGTAGCTTTCCTTCGCCTCTGCCATCTATAGCCCGTGGTGCACCGCATGTGGCACGCTGCTGATTTTGGATAGTGCCATTTTACCATGCACAGTATACTTTCAACACGGTGGCACGAAAACAGTTCACAAAATTAGCCGTTTCCGAAATGATTCCACACTTGGCCCGAAAGCCAATAATCATGCCCTTTTGGACGTCGGATAAATCACTACGTTTTTGCATTACGCCAATGCTTGAAATGCTTTCAGATGCCCTAGGACATCTTTTATATACACTCTACTGTAATATGCTGCCACCTGCCTTTTGTGATTGGTTATTTCACGTTAATGTCGAAGGTAAGTGGTGGTCACATTAATGTGACTGGACTGTGTATTTATACACAATAGAATGTACATAATATTTATTTATTCTATTTTATATTATAAGAAAGTAATTTGAAACATTTAGAACAATTATATTAACCTATATTATATAAGGAAAAGATTTTAACTTCAAGCATAATTTTTGTTTTCTTCGAAAAATTTATATATCCCCAACAGGTATTAGATAAAATAGATCATTCCTGAAACTTCGTTCGTAAGTTTTAAGAAAACTTTGA